CACATGCGGGCTCATTTCAAAACGTATGCACAAGTGTGTATAAATTATACATCTATGTTTGGCTGGCTGTGCGACAAACACGTTTCGCCCAATAGCGAAACCATAAGAAGGTCATAAATATTGGGCAGAGATGTTGGGGATGAGCACGAAAATAAAACAGACAGCGGCCTGCTCTATTGTGCGTGTGGGTGTTCCTGTGCTGGGTATATGGAATAGAATAAAATGTAATTAACACATGTCGGCCAGAGAGAGAGTGACGAAAGCAGCGGCATTACACTTGGAAGGGAAGAGGGAAGTCCCAGCAAATCGCACCGAGTGAAAGAGGGCCAGGCGGAGAAGAAAGAGGAAATCGAGCAAAAATTATGCAATTAATTTGCCATGCACTTGATCGATGGGCGAAATCCAATTATCTCTGGGTTCTAGGTCCAACGACCTCTGACTTACTTTTCTTTAAGTGACGAAAGTGGCCTATCCAATCCTCGTTATCCTGGCGAGGAGGAGTCTCTCTCCGGTCTCCGCAGCACTACAACATAAAACAATGTCGGGCGTCAGTCTTGAGTAAAACGTGGGGTAATTTTTTGTTTGCTCCCAGCTCCAAACTCAGCACATACAATATATATACGCGGCTCCTATATGTGCGGCCTCTTTTACTCGGTTTTGGTTCTTTGAATTTTCGGTTTTTGGTTGGTAGAACAGCGCGAATTCGCCAACGGTTGCTGCTTCGTCTCCGTCTTGCCTGCCCAGGAACTCGCGACCGTTCACTTCAAAGCTGTCCGTCGGACTGGCCAGGGGGAAAAAACTCGAAACTTTTGCCGCCGCCGTCGACTACATCTATATGGTTTTGCGAAGAGAGGAGCGTTTCACTCGGGAACTCAACTCGGCAGAGGTGACGGTGGCCAAGCAAGCTCCATGCCGATGCCGCCGCCTCTCACGCGTCTCTCAATCACTTTGGCTCCTCTCGCAAATTCTCGATGCCTGCGCGTGCTCGAAGCTCCCTACCGGCAATGATTTGTTCTCCGGCAGCAAATCAGAAAAAAAAAATCACCACAGAAGGGCGGAAACCGTTTCGGATTTGAAATACCTCGTATTCAAGGGGGCCTTAACATACTTATTTAATTTATTTATTTCATCCCCCCTTAAAACAACTTGAAAACAACAAATTAAAGCTAAAGAAAACTTTGAGAGTTTAAAGTCAACATTAAAATATGCATCTTTAAAAAAATAATTTTAGACCGAAATAATATGTGGCATCCTTTTGGAAACCCAAATCAAAAGCGAATTCGTTTAATGTCAAACTGCATTTCCGCCCGAATTACCCTCCTGTCAAATTGAATTTGACATAAAGCAAAATCTATTTGAGTTATCGAAACTCCAAAGTGGATTTATCAAGTTGTCTTTTTGTCAACTGTACGAATATACCTCACGAGTACCCGGTATTAGTGGCAGCAACCAAATCGCACTTTGTCCTAGAGACAAAGCCCGCGCGGTTGTTGCTTTTGTCACCGGATGCCGGCGGCGCAAGAGAACTTTCTATTGACATTGCCAGTCGGTCGAAGGAGCAAGCGAAAGAGCGATAGCGACAGAGAGAGCAACAGCTGTTTACCGGCCCCCGAAAAACTCCCACTAAAATCCCTTAAAACCGCTTACATGCACGCTATTTTACCTCCAGGATTACTGCAAATTTGGAAATTTTAGAAATTAAAAATTTTAAAAGAAGTCACAAATTTAAAATTTTAAAACAAGTCAAAAATATATATAATATAACATGACTGAGGAAAAGAAAAGCCTGCTGTTTCGAGTTTAGTTAAATAAAGAATAAAAAGTTTTCGATATCAACATTATATGGAAACTAAAATTAAAACTTGTATCGAATTCCAGGGAAACGATAATGACTGTACTAAGATAGGAATGCATGGCTTCGTAAACTTGGCAACCAACATAAAATATAAAGATCTTATCCTAGGATTGAAGAAAGCTCTATATTTCATTTCGAAATCTTTACAGAAAACACCCTTGTTTCTCCGACTGCACCCAGGTACGCAAAATAAGGCGTCGACAAGGGATCACATCCTAACCCCTGATATGTATGTGGAAATGTTTCGAAAATTATGGTTTGTATGTAAATACATATTTGTTTGTATATATGTTGTGGAGGTAATTGGAATGCTCAGGCTATTCAGATCGGACGCGTGCGTCGTCAAAAGCTTATTATATCAACAGCCGGTGTGTCTACCTCTGTAGAATCGTATGACTCCAAATCGCTGTCCCGATGAGATCCGAGATTCGGCGCCATTTCGAGCGAGTGAGAGTGGAGAGAGAGAGAAGAGTCAGCGCCTACGCTCTCTGTTATCGCCGGTATCAGCTGGATTTATTCAAAGCTCCCACTCTTGAGACTATATATTTAGGCTGTTCATGTGCACATACATATGTAGTGGTGACACGTGTTATATGGAAGGTTTTGAGATTTTTATTTTTATATTACGTCTTTGGCAATAACAAATTATTGGTCTGCCTTATCAACGGCGGGCGGGCCCAACTGGAATGATGTTGCGTATGGGCGAAGGCAGATAAATATATAGCGATAATGTACCAATGATTGTGTGTTTACCTGTTCCTAGGAAACTATGTTAGTAAGTTCCCAGGATGTAGTCGAAAAAGGAATAGGACAGAAAATCAATAGTGATGTTTAAAAAATTGGCTGTAAATGGCTAAAAGAGTTATGTATGTACCTAAATATTAAATTTAGTCTTCTGCAATATAACAAACTTACTTTAGAATTTTAACTAAACGTGTACTTAAAAAAATAAAATGAATTGGTCAAAATTTGTATTCGAAAATAGGTCATAAAAATTTCGTTATATTGCCGGCAAGCAAAATCTATTCAAAAGCCTCTTCAGTTCTAGAACTTTGAACCCCAAGAAATACAAAAATATAAAATAAATAAATAAATGAGCTAGCTCAAGATTAGATTAGAGAAATCTAGCAACTAATTGGGACTCATACTATCTATATAAAGAAGATTCCACACATCTGCTGTTGGAATATAGTGGTTTGCTTTCGTATTGGAGTGCTGATAAGAAGGGCCACGCCTCCGTCTGAATGGAAATCTTTCATAAATGTTCAACCTGTTATCAAGCCAGTGCTGTAAATATAGCCAGTCAGAGCTAATTTCTGGACATGCCGTATCTTATCAGTACAGAATACCACACCTCTACTTTGCCTATATGTGGGTGGGTGTATTTTGTTTGACTATTTCAAGTTTCTACCTATAAAGTATAGGTGATGAAAGTTTAAGATATAGGACAGGGTATCCAAAAGTCGAAAGGTTATTGAAGATCTCAAACTGATAGCTTCGCCTATCAAAATAAAATAAAAACAGTGGCAGCCTTCTACACGTGCCACCGAATTTGGCGCGCCGAATCCTACATGCACACTAGATAAGGTTTAAAGGCGATAAAACACTCTTCAGTGTACATATACTATGATACATTGGACAAGGTAGCGAATTCCACAATTCAAAAGAACCAAAGACCTTTTCCAATCTTATCAATTTCCTTCCTCAAACAAAACCTATATTAGAATTGGTTAAGACAGCAATCTCTATAAGAAACCCAATATAACTTTATTCCTTTCTACACGCCCAAGGTCATTGGCTTACCCATTTTAGAAAAGTCTTGAAGAAGCTTCCGCAGGACGAGGCCTCGTTATTCCTTATTTCATCGGTGTAAGGAATGTCAGGGCGCCTTAACAGTTGTATTCCAGCATGGCGATGGCGAGCTCCTCTACCAGACTCTTGCTCTCAAATATCTTGGAGTAACCTTAACAACGCCACAAAACGGGGGTAGTTAAGGGGATCAAGGCCTTGGCTATCAGTTTGGCTTGGCTCCTTAACCCCTGAAATAAGTTTTCCCTGAAAACAAGATTGCATTTACCAGCAGATCCATGTAGCATCTAGGTTTACAGAATAGCTTATACAACAAACATGAACAAAGTTAGAGTGGCGCAGGCACAAATTCTGAGTAGGATTTCCGACGGGGCATGGTACATCAGTACCATAGTACTGTATAGAATAGCAGTATAGCAGTCAGAGTTTTCAGAAGACTATATGCAAAGTTTCATTCAGACTGAGAGACTAGCTTACGTAGAAACGGACAGACGGACAAGGCTAGATCGACTCGGCTGTTGATGCAGATCAAGAATATATGGTCGAAAATGTCTCCTTCACTGCGTTGCAAACTTCTTTTTTTTTGGTAAAATATGGTACATATTCCTATGGACCTAGACTATTTACAGATATTTACAAACTTTTTACATGTTTACAAAGATTAACGAATAACACGGGAAGACTAATCGCAGGGGTGGAATCTCTCGAGCCTTCTAAGAGGTTGCGGGTCAGCCAGCCTGCTAGCCAGCGGATTTGGGTGCGCCTGAAGCCTGTCCATGTAGCGACTGCTGTGATTATTTATGAGATCGCCCACCGGAACAAGGCGTAGGTCGTTCTGGATAGCCTGGTTAGTGACATACCAGGGAAGCCCGGATGCCCGTCGAGCAGCACGTGCCTGCACCACCCTCAGCCTGTTTATCTGGTGCCTGGATGCGGTACCCCATACCTCAATCGCATACGTCCACGTTGGTGTCAGAATTGCCTTGAGCAGCAAAACATTAGACGAAAGCTGGAGGCTTTTGGAACTCAGGAGCCAATCGAGCTTCTTTAATTTACGAATGCACTTCGCTCTGATGTGGGTGTTCCATATGAGACGGTGATCTAGGTGTACACCCAAGTAGCAGTGCGAGGTGGCGTTCCTGATAGTGTCTCCATTGAAAATGTGGACGATGTCGGTTGCAAACTTCTGACTAAATTTATAATACCCCTGCAAGGGTATAAAAAGGTAAAAATTCGTTGCATACTTTCAAACGCAAATATCGATAAGTCCCAGCAATCGAAGCGAAAAGCTTTTCTGCTGGCGTTAATGCGTTTTCGTTAAACAGCCACACTGTTTCTAGCTTTTGCCGACACTTCCAAAATTAAATTATTTGTTATTGTCGCTCACCCCGTTCGGTCTAGTTTGTCGAGTTTGCCGCGATGTCTATCTATGCCGACGTAGAAAAGGGACCTGCCATCGAGGTGTTCGCCTTGACGGAGGCCTTTAAGAACGATACCCATCCCAACAAAGTCAACCTCTCGGTGGGCGGTAAGTGATGAATTTCAATTGTGCCTGCAAAAGAGCATGTGTGCAGTAGCGAGATGTGTGTGTTACTTGCTTGGGTGCCATTGTATGGGGCTCAATTTGCTATCATTTGTTAGTTGGTTCGCCCTTGCACTTCCCCCCGCCGTCGCCCTGGACACCCCTTTGCAATCATTTCCGCTGCCACCCAACTTTCAGCCCGCCCTCTCTGCTGGAGGTCATTTGGAAGTCAAATTGGCATATGAATTGTTTTGCTTTCTCCGTCCTTTCCTGCCCAGATTTCTGCATGTACATATGTACATATATGCGTTCTAATTAGAGAATGACTTCTAAATAGTTGTGTGTCATCTATGACGGAAGCTGAATAATAATTGCACTCTAAATAAAATAAGGGAGACGGGATATAAATTTTTACAAAATCATCTACATTTCAGAGTCAAAATAGAGATAGAGATACAACGAATTAAGAGATATCTTAGGTTTATTTAGTTTACTATTTGTAAGCTTTATCATCATACAAATAATTAATAAATAAATAAGGTTTATTTATTTTACTAATTTTTAGCTTTATCATGTTTTGATAATATTTTTGTTTATTTAATAGATAAATACAGATAATATTTATGTCACATATTTCCTCTTGCTAAAGAAGTATACTTTTTGTTTAAACAACTTGATAAATTGTTGATTATATATATCTGTATAATATAAATACATATATACTTTAAACATTTAATAAAATCATATATAGTATGCTTTTGGCCTTATCAAAATACAAATTTTAATGTTTTTTAAAAGTCAATTAAGTTGAGTATTATCAGTGAAAATAGTCTTCCTTATCATTCGTTTGCAATGTCACCCCACCTTGACCCACAAGTTCGGCAATCTGTTTTCCTTGTGAACTATAGGGCATTTCTAGTTCGACTTTCTCCCTCTAAATTCTAGTTGACGTCAGCTAACACAATATTTATGTAGCTATAGCCCATGTGTACGACGGATGATAAGAGCCCCCCCACTTGTGTGAGGACTTTTTAGCGAATACAACAAACAATAAGCGCTGGCGTCCAGCCACAATCTCGAGGCGAGTCGCCTCAAGAGCACCTCTTTTCACCTCTTCTAAATTTATGTATGTTATTGCATAATTTGAACAACAATTCCCACCCAGCGACACTGATAATTATTCTGCTTTTTGTTTGTTTGGCAGTCATTAACCTTTTCAAGCGTGTAAAGTTGTTTTTAATTCATAGAGAAATGACATGGAATTGAAGTGTGAAAGAAGTTATAAAATTATAATAAGCCACCTAAAATATTTATGCAGATTCTTTCTTGAGTTATACATTTCATCAGCTTCATTTAGTCTGACGAAAAGATCAGTTCTCGGGGGAAATAAAACAGGTTTTTTGGGAGCCGAGTTCAGTGAATGATCGCGACCTCGGCTATTACTTTCGAAATTTCTCACAAGTTTATTATTCGATTCGTTATGACTTTTGTTTATAGTCATTGTTTTTTCATGTTTACCCTGTTTCTTTATAATGCTACAAATTTATAAATACTACCCGACGGACCAATTCAGTCAATTGGTTTCAAATAACCCGGCGAGCTGCTGCAATAAACGAATAATAAATTTGGCCTAGAAACAATACACAGGAAGGAACACTATCAGATTCCGTGCAGCATTACGGATTGATTAGGCTTGTTGGGTCCGCCAAGATAAGGGTTGAATATTGTACGGATTTTAGCACTTTAACCGATGGATCTCCTTGGCCACTTCAGCCGATTACGATAGTTACTCATATGATCTAATGTTTCTTCTTATTTACAGCTTACAGGACAGATACCGGAGTTCCATGGGTGCTGCCGGTGGTGCGCAAAACAGAGATTTCCATTGCCAGCGATGTGTCTTCGAACCACGAGTATTTGCCAGTGACTGGTAAGTAAAATAGCAATTTAAAAAGATTTAATTAAGAACCTCAACCTCATCTTATACTACATTTTCTTAACCAGGTCTGGATACGTTCACAAAGGCGGCAACGGAATTGGTGCTGGGTGCCGATTCCCCTGCCATCAAGGAGAATCGCGTATGTTTAATCCTTTCATCAAATCGATAATCTCACCTAACTTATGGAATCTTTCTCGCAGGCCTTTGGAGTTCAGACAATTTCGGGTACCGGTGCTCTGCGTGTGGCCGCAGATTTCCTGCACACCCAGCTGAAGCGGAATGTGGTCTACTACTCCAATCCCACATGGGAGAACCACCACAAGATCTTCTCCGACGCTGGCTTCACTACGCTCAAGTCGTATCGCTACTGGGACCAAAGCAAGCGTCAGCTGGACTTCAAGAACATGGTGGCTGATCTGAACGAGGCTCCCCCTGGTGCAGTGATCATACTGCACGCCTGCGCCCACAACCCCACAGGCATTGACCCCACGCAGGACCAGTGGAAGGAGCTGGCCACTTTGATGGAGAAGAAGAAGCTCTTCCCTCTATTCGATTCCGCTTACCAGGGCTTTGCCAGCGGAGATCCGGACCGGGATGCCTGGGCCGTGCGCTACTTTGTGCAGCAGGGCTTCGAGCTTTTCACCTGCCAGTCCTTTGCCAAAAACTTTGGCCTATACTGTGAGCGTGCCGGAAATCTGACGGTGGTACAGCAGCATGGAGCCACCAAGGCAGCCGTGCACTCACAGCTAACGCTGCTCATCCGCGGCCAGTACTCAAACCCGCCCGCCTACGGAGCCCGCATCGTATCGAAGGTGCTCAACACACCGGAGCTGCGCACGGAGTGGATGCAGTGCATCCAGAGCATGTCTAGTCGCATCCGCGAGATGCGGACGGCGCTGCGCGACAAGCTGGTGACATTGGGCACACCCGGCAACTGGGACCACATCGTTAACCAGATCGGCATGTTCTCGTACACGGGACTGAACGAGAGTCAGGTGCGCGTCCTTATCAACGAGTTCCACATCTACCTGTTGAAGACCGGCCGTATTAACATGTGCGGACTGAACACCGGAAACATTGAGTATGTGGCCAAGGCGATCCATGCCGCTGTCACCGGGGCAGCTACCCCCTGTCCGTGCGACAACAAATTGTAATCAATCAACGATCAGGCCAGAGGTTTACTGAATATAACGCCCGCATCAACGATTATCTGTCTGCACCATTAGCATTTACTTCGGAAACCAACAGAAATTGCAATTATTAATCGGTTATACGCGTCTTTTACATGGATAAATTATACACTTTAAATGGTATGAAATATTGGAAAGTTAACACAAATTGAGCACGTTTAATGGCCGTCATGGATATTGGTTAAATAACGATGTTTGGCTGGATAGCTAAATCTTTATTGACTTGTATGTAGTCCTTAGTTACAACGACAATAACATTACTAAAGTATTTCATAAGGAATTGTGTTTTTATCGGAAGTGGGATGAGAAATTTTACAGGTTTTCTGGATATGTTTTTCATTTATACAAACTGATGACCTTTGCGTTTATATAAATTAAGTTAATTTGACAATGAAAGTTTTTGTTTTTTTAAATTTAAACATTAAACCTATCGATAACTCGATTGTAAGTCAGCTGCAATCCTTCCTAAAGTGTCATCCCTAAGAACCAAATTGAAATGTTTATAGTCAAAAATTTATAAATACTCGTATCTTTTTCAATGGCAGGTGATTCCATAATACGAAACAATTTAAGTTTTTTAAAATAAAGTGAATTGTTTCCCTCAGCCGATCCGAACAAACCCTCCACTTCGACGCAAGCGGACGAAACGCCACTGTTTCCTCCTGCGAAACCCGGAAAACGAGTGGACTATGGAACAAACAACACATTGGAGCTGCTGGAACGAATACCCAGCCAGGTGGTGAACCTCAAGCTGGACGACGTACTCACGGCGGTCAAGGAGGTGGATAACCTATGCGACTATCCCCGCTGCAAGGCCAAAACGAGCCTGATGGGCCAGGACTGTCAGCACTGCAAGAAGAGATACTGCTTTAAGCACGGCTTGCCGGAGGTTCATGGCTGCGGCGAGGAGATCAAGCGGGACGAGCGCAAGAAGTTCCTGCATCCCAAGCCGGCCAAAACTATCCGCCAAGAGGAGGATGTGAAGAATGCCAAGAAGCGACTGGATGCCAAGTTGAAGGATATGCAGGTGGGCCGCATGCAGAAGGCCACCGGCGGCGGGAGCGGAGGTTCAAAGAAGAAAAAGGGAAAATAGGGGATTTCTGAAGTAAATTATAGTTCAAAAAGCATAATAAAGTTAAATTACACACACAACCTCACATCAGCTGAAGTAAACAAAAGTCAGCTGTTTTCCGATGCAAATTCCGAAGCGCAGTTATAGAATTTAATAACAATGTTTATCAGGGCCCTGATTATCCCAAAAATAGTGGGTTTTACACGACCAAGCTTCCGAAATGTTCAATATACTCAAGGTCAGTCGCCAGAGCCAAAAATTCGGGAGTATTTCTATTACATCGACCACGAAGGAATGGTGAGTCTGGCATACATACCGAAAATGACTTTAAAATATTCAAAAAACCAATTGTAGCTATTTCTAGACGACGCCAAGATGAAGAACTTCACCAGTTGCTTCAAGGAGAAGGACTTCCTCAAGTTCTTTTTCAACCGTGTGCGTCTGAACAAAACGAACCGATATCAGAGCGATTTCCCCTATATCTCGCTCTGTGGACGCGAAAGGAACTTCATCCGATGCGATGATACACCGCTTGTGTTTACGGAACAACTGCAAAAGGATGACAACGAAGTTCTTAGCTATGCCCATTCGGGACAGGTGCTTACCCTGCCCTACGAACCCCACAAACTGTACATGGACCCGAGGAATGGAAGGGTCTACCATCCAGCAACGCCACAGGTGGGTGGCATCGGTCTGGTACGCTCGAAGTTGGCCATAGAACTGAGCCAGAACTTTGAGTTTCCGCCTGGACAGGCATCTCCCACGCACTTTATGTGGAAGGGTGAGCGCTTGAAGCTGGAGAACGACTGGGTTAGTGAGACCCAAAGGTTCCCCATGAACGAGGAGTGTATATAATTGAGTAACTTTACTTCTTTAATATTGAGACAACATTACATTTCGAATTCCTATATCAAGTGTATTATTGCTTTTACTCAATGCTGAGGGGCTTAAACTCGCCCTCCTTTACCCACGACAGTCCGGTGGCGTGTCCCCCGTTTGTCTGCTGCGACGTGGCCTCCAGCTGCTTGCTCTTGCCTGCCTTGATGCGCTCCAAAACCGGCCCATGTATATCCGGCTGAAACTTTTCGAATACTATATAGTGCGGATCCTCAGTGGGCGGAGTGTCGTAAACGCGGTCCTTGCTCTCCTTTATGTTCTCCTGCACACGGGCGGCAAACTCCTCCCTATTTGTCATCAGGAGTTCAGCAGCCTCGTTGTTTTTCAACATATCCGCTTCAATTCCCCGGATACTGTCTACTGGGTCGGAGAATATGGCCTGCATGTATTTGAGCAGCTGCCACAGATGATCCTCGCCGCAACGCCACTCCGGGAAGGCGTGACTGATGTCCAAGCTGTGGGTGTAAGGGCAGACATGTGGATGCAGTACATCCTGCTGGAATATCACGGTCTAAAAGAAGATTGATTAAGTTAATATTAGGATTCAGGTAGGTGCTGACTCACTGGAAGACTTTTGTCGTCGGGAAACCGATCGGGCAACAGAACTGAGAACCGAAAGACACTCTCTGAGTAGAAGCCCTGGCGTCCAAAGAAGACACCAAACCACACTGGAAAATGGAATAATTTAGCAAGGGCTCCCATGACATTATACTCCGCAATACTAACGCAAGGAGTTGGCATAGCTGGGTATCACATAAATGCCACTCAACTTCTCCGATTCAATCATTTTGCTGAGAAAGAACATTATTTATAGACTTTTGCAAACAGTAATAAGTGTCCAGGAAACTCACTACTCAGCAAGTATTTTATACTCCTGCTGGATGGTGGTTATTAGTAATTTGTCATCCCTCTTATTGGCATCCAAGTCGAGCGTCATCTTTAATAAAATAATCTAAACACAAAACTTGTAAAATAAACAAAACGAAGAAAATTGTTTTTATCGAACAGCTGTTGGCTGCAACTCTGACACATATGGTAAAAAAAGCGCAGGCTGGTCACATTACTTTTTTGATTTCAGTCAGAAGGTTTTCCGAGTTCTTTTCTTTTGAAAACACATGTCTCTCATGACTGAAAAGCTTGGAGCTGAACGGAGAAAACAGGAAAACAAATTTTAAAGGGTCATTTGATCTTCCCATCTGCGCTTTCGCAACTTTTTCAAGCCGCTACGCCTTTTTAGGCCTTCAGAGAGGCGGTCACACTAAGTAACCTAAACAACAAAAATAAAAAATAAATTAACAAGCATGCTTTTCAAATCCTGACAAAGCCATGTCAATCACATTCGAAGGAGAGCTTTCAGACAAGCTGCAAGTCATGGAAGTGAACAAGGACGCAGCAAACCAACTCCAGGAGGCGGTACCCCAAGACGACAATAGCAATTTGCCTGCGAAATGCGAGACAAAGTCTGCTTTTGCTTCCTCCAGCAGCAGCATCACAAATAACTCGGGCCCGGAGCCTGAGTTTTACAACAAGGCGCAAAAGTACTGGGCCGAAGTTCCTGCCACAGTTAATGGAATGCTCGGCGGCCTCGGTTACATCAGCGCCATTGATATACAGGGCTCCAGTGTCTTCCTGCGCGAGATTCGTGTGCCGGGCACAAAGCTGGCCTTGGACTGCGGCGCTGGCATCGGCAGGGTGACCCGTAACCTGCTCATCCCGCGCTTCTCGCGTTGATCTAGTGGAGCAGGACCAGGCCTTTGCCGAGAAGGCTCGTGAGTACTGCTCCTCGGATGAAATTATTTCCGGACAGGTGGGCGAGATCTACAACGTGGGCCTGCAGAAGTTCACGCCCACGCAGCAGTACGACCTTATATGGAGCCAATGGGTGCTGGGTCACCTCACGGACCGCGATCTGGTGGCCTTCTTTCGCCGCATTAAGCAAGGACTGGCGCCTGGCGCCTTCTTTTGCCTCAAGGAGAACGTGAGCAGCTCGAAGAAGACGGTGGAAGATGAGGAGGACTCGTCGGTTACCCGCCCCCTTGAGCAGTATGAACGTTTCCTTAAGGAAGCCGGGTTTCGAATTGTGCGTAAAGTTAAGCAGCAAAACTTTCCCAAGGGCCTCTTTCCGGTTTACATGATTGCCTGCAAGACCATCTCCAAGGACTAAATTAGGTACGATCTAACTAAAATATCAGAGAAGCAAATCAATGTCACAATTACTAGCTAGTCATAAAAAATTGTATCGTTTTTAGCAACGAATAAATAAGCTTGTGCAAGCTTTTAGTAGTTCCTTAAATTTCTGAATGGTTTTATAGGAACTACTGTCATCCAAACGGGAGCTGAAAAAACAAACATTTCTTCAGAGGAGAAGCCATAATTTACTTTTTAAAAAAGAATCGAATGTAGTTCCCTTTATTATACTTTTCCATAAATAATATCTATATGTAATACGCCTGTCTTCAATTATTTAGCTGAGGAAATGGCCGTCACGCGCTGCTCCACTTTAGCCACCTTGCTATTGATGGTTTCCAGATTCTGGGCAAAGGTCTCCTGTACAGAATGCAGCAGCTCCTTGTTGTTCACCAAGCTGGTGGTTATGGTTCCCTGCTTCTGCTCAATCTCAGCTATGATCTTGGCAAAGTTGTTTGCTAATGGAATTTAATGATAAGTACATATTTAAGTGAACTACAATTAGAGTAATATACTCTTACCATATTTATGAAGGGCCTCGAGGGCCTGCATTCGCTCGATGACGTGCGGCAATATTTCCACTACCGGCTCTGTGCGCTTCGCGATGTCGTAGAGCTCCGTGATCTTCTGGTCCCGCTTGGCGTCCTGGGCACTTCCACTGGACTTCTCGGCGATGGCGTCCATCTTGCCGGCCAGCGAGGTTAGGCGCTGTTCAATGGTGTCCAGCTTTTCTGGCTGCAGCAGCGCAGCCTTTGTGCTCAGTTGGCGGACGGCCTCCAGCACATTATTGGTGTTGGTGGCGGCAGTAAGGCGGCTCAGCTTGTCGGGCTGGGCGCCCACCACCTTCTCCAATTGCGAAAGTCTCTGCTCCAGGCTGGCCACGCGCGCGGTGGCCGCCAAGTCAGTGCCGGGCGTAGGGATGGCCGTCAGGACTCCAGATTGCTTGAACTCCTCCACCTGGCTGATGAGCGCCTTCACCTGCTTGCTGTTGGGCACCTGTTCCTTGCCCAGTACCTGCTCCAGCTTGAGGGTATCTAGCACCTTCTTGGCCGTAGTGATGACAGTGGCCACGGCATCGTAGGACTGCTTCTCCTCGTCGGCAATCTTCCGGTCCACCTGTAGGGCAGCCACCTCGTTCAGCAGCTCGTTCATCTCAATCTGCAGGCGCTGGCACTTCTGCACGGGCGTTTCCTTTTCGCCCAGGCCCACCAGTTCATAGTCACCCGAGCCGCGGGCATCGTATCCCCGGCATACGCGGCGCCCGATGCGGTCCGTGAAGTCAACACTGCCTTCGAGACTGGCTCCGCTGAAACGCTTGTGGGCGGCGCTCGGCGAGATGTGCAGGCGCTCAATGGCCTCGTTCTCGGGCTCCTCCTCGTAATAGTCGGATGTATCGGGTTCGGCGTCATCGGGAGTTTCATATACGTCCGGTTGGTCATAAGCCTAATTGGGAGAACATTAAGCAATAGAAAAAAAGGTTGCACGTCACTGCCAGTGTCTGTGGCATCTCTCCCACTTACAATTCCGGGCAGGTTCTGAAACTTGGGATCGGCCATTACTGTAGGCACTTCGACGGCAATGTCCTAGATCCTTGAGCGAAGAAATAATGGTTAATTTTTGCCAAGCAAAATCCTTTTTCGCAAAATGCAATCTGATGTCATAAATGATAAGACCGTTTTCAGTGGTAATTATAATGTGCTAAAGCGTCTATGCCAGTTGGTATTTGTTAAGTTTGGTATTTTTTTAAAACACGACCACCGTTATAATTGAAACGAGATAATAATAATTACTACTTAAAACAAGTAATTAAAAAGGTATAAAAAACAGATAAACATCAAGTTTAAATTACATTGTGACCACAGAGCCCGTAGTGGAACTTTTACTATGCACTTGCCAGGTAAGTGGCATATCCAAAATAGTTTGGATAGCAAAAGCATTCATGGTCATACTGTCCCTAGTCTAGGTACAAACTTAATCAACAATAGTTTTGTGGGGGCGGGAGCTGCTAGTTGTTTGGATTAAAGTTGAAAATTTCGTATTCGAGGCGCAGAGAATGTCGTGTTCCGAGTTGTGTTCGCCCAGGTACGACGAGCTGCCGCTGGAGGTGAGTGAGTGAGTGCGTCGGCGGTCCGCGGTTGAAGGCAGTCCCGTGACCGATCCATCATTGAAGCGCCCATATGCACATATATCTCTCTACCTGTTAGGGCAGACGTCAGCTGATTGTTTTGTCTGTTCCGCCTTCCAGATTGTCTTGAAGATTTTCAGCTACTTGGGGTACTCTGACCTGCAGGCGGCCGGAGGAACCTGTCACCGATGGCACGCGGCGCTGGACCAGACGGAGTTCAACATGCGCACGCGCGTCTGCTTCTCCAAGGTGGTGCTCTCCGACCAATTGAGTCCGGTGGCCGATCTACTGCGCTGCGAGCGGCGCTTCCGGCATTTCTTGTTCGAGGACGTAACGCTGGGCCAGGTGAAGGAGTTGATGCGGTTCATGGGCAGGACGGCGCACTCACTAGCCCTGGACAATGTGGATCTGAACGACAAGCAGTTCTACGGCATGCTGGGCGTGCTGCCGCACCTCCACTCGCTGTCGCTGAAGCGCTGCCTACCCCTGTTCATGTCCGGATCGTTTCTGGACACGCACAACTCCTGCCCCGACCTGAACGACTTGGCCAGCAACCTGGCCGGGATCAGGGAGCTGACGCTGTGTGAGAATCAGTATCTGACCGACGCCATCCTAATGCGGCTCACCTCGTTCATGCCCAGCCTCGAAGTGATTAACATGTCCGGCTGCCACATAGCCTTTCACAACGCCATCCATCGCAGATTTTATCCCGGCAACAGCTCCTCGGATCACGTCCTGCCCAGTGAATCCGTGCTGACGTTTAAGTTCATCCTGACCATATTGAATCTGCAGCGGCGCACGCTCCGCGAGCTGGACTTTAGTCACACGCTGATTGGTCAGGCCTTGCTGGCCCTCAGCGACCTCAATCTCCAGCTGCAGCGCCTCTACTTGGCCGGATGCCGCCAGCTAAACTGCACGACCATCAGAAACTTTCTGGGCACTCAGCCCAGTCTGACCGCCTTGGATTTGTCGGCCACGATGTGCGTGAGCGACGAAAACCTGGCAGCTCTGGTGCAAACGAATCCGCAGCTGGAGCACTTGAAGGTGAACGGATGCCTGAGCATCACCAATGCCGGAGCAGTGCACCTGGCCAAGCTGAAGCGTCTTAAGAGCCTGGACATCTCCAACTGCGACAGCATAACCAGCAGCGGCATCACCGAGGGCGTTGCGAGCGAGGAGAACAAGGTGCTGCAGGAGCTCAATGTGTCGTACTTGCAGATCTGCCAAGAGTGCATCAAGGCCATTGCCAGTAATCTGCGTTGCCTGCGATCGCTGCACCTGAATCACTGCGTCAATGGGGCCACCGACGAGGCCATTCAATCGGTCATTGGACAGCTGCGTTGGCTGCGCGAACTCTCCCTGGAACACTGCAGTATGGTAAGTGAGAAGATCAACTTCCTCCAGCCTTCCTCCCAACCAAGTCTCTCCTCTTTTCAGCTAACAGATGCCGCCCTTACGGGAATTAACATATCCAAGCTGGAGTTGAGTCGCAAGCAGTCGTGCTCCCAAGTCTCCTCGATGGACAACTTCTATCCGCCGTACAGCAGCACTCTGGCTGAGCGCGACAGCTTGGCGGGATCGCTGCAGTCCATCAAGATATCGCTAAGGAGCAAGGCGGAGGATGAGATTGTGCGGGATGCCAGACGAAAGCAGGCCATGCTGGCCGCCTACGAAATGAACCTGATACGCGAGGATGACTTCGAAGGCCACAACATACAGCAATTAAGGGGCTTAAGGTCCCTCAACCTTCGCGGCTGTAACAGGATCAGCGACGTGTCCCTCAAGTACGGCCTGAAGCACGTGGAGCTAAAGCGCCTGCTGCTCTCTAACTGTCAACAGATTTCGCTTCTGGGCATGGAGGCGGTGGCCAGCAGCTGTCCCTCCATCGAGGAGCTGGACCTGTCCGACTGCTACAACATCATGGACAAGACCATACAGGTGGTAACCGCCAAGTTGCCCCGTCTACGGGCCCTGCACATAAGCGGTTGCAGTCAGCTCACTGAACACACGCTGGACGCCATCATTACGAACTGCACATGCCTGCAGACACTGTCCATATACCGGTGCCGCAGCATGTACACGGACTTGGAGGAGCGGCTGTCCAGCGTGCGAACGTTGCGCAACCTCAATATGGACAATCTGACGAACATCGACAATGCCGAGTTTTTCCGCTTGAAGAAGCGCCTTGATTACTGATATTTCGCCGCCATCTTCATTGTCCTTGTGCTGTACTACTTTCAGTTGTACAACTTCCGCTAGTCAATCGCCCAGTCCAAGCAGCATCAGCGCCCGTTAATAAATTTATTTTTATCTTCAACAATCGGCTCCCCGGCAGCAGGGCTATAGTCAAATATATTTGCATACATATATGCGGCCACCATAGATATATATGCATGTACACTCACTTTTACACTAACCACGCGCACTTGTCTATAGATTAGAATAATAATTACAAATCTCGATTGTAATTCGGTTATCCAAATAATTGTCCGCATTCAACTGTGATTTTTTACATACAGTACGTATTTTTCGTATGTTAAGTGAACGCAATTGTAAGTTGTTACGTGACCAGTTGCCTGACATCAAGTTATTTTTGTTATTTGTTGAGCGTTAATATTGTGTTAAATTCGTTGATTAATTCGATATAAGCCTAAAGTCCTTAAAAATGTTTTATTGATGTAATTACATATTTTAATACTCTCTTTTTATAAATATAAGCTTTAAGCGATCAAATCGTTGACAAAAGAACATATTTCCTTTTTATAATACGTATGTTCTCAAGTAAAACAAAAATAGGTCAGCTTTAGTAATTCAAAAAATAACAAAGAAAATTCAAACTTAGAAAAATTTCTATAGTTAATGTAGATGTCTTAAAACTAACAAGAAAAAGTAAAAAAATTGAGAAGTAAGTAATTGACTGTTTTTACATCGTTAAGAAAATTGACAAACTCTGACTCTCTTTTTGTGAAAAATGTTTTTGAACGCAAATAAAGAAATTAAATCACGTTTTAAA